AAATTTGTATTATTTAAAATTCACATACAACTCCTGCATTATTTTATTGGTGCCTTCTTTCAGTGAGTGAAAAGAGTATTTCCAACACAGGAAAATCTGAATGGTTTATTTGTTTTGCACTTTCATAGAAAACATTCATTGCCACACATCCATTTTCTTAGTCTATTTGTTCTGGACTAGGAGGTGGTTTGGATCTTCAAGAGCATCTTGTGCCCTCTCTGCGGCAATGCGAGCATGGTCTGCTGCGATTCGAGCAAAGAGATCATGGTGTCGCTGCTTGGCTGCTGCTACTGTTGGTGTATCCCGCACGGGGTCACTCAGTTGGGCATGGAAGCCATGGGCATCAGCCACATAGTCGACTGTTCGCACCTTGAAGCGGGGATCCACATAAGAATACTGACCTAGTGGTGAACATAAAAGTAACGTTATGTACTCAGTATAAATCACAACTTAATTATTTGAGTTATCAAATTAAATTATCTCTTCAAAACTTGTATTTTTGTAAGCTTTTATCAATGCCATAGAGGCACTCATCTTTCTTGGCTAATAACAATGGTATCTTTTCTGTAGTAACCCTCTCAAATAAAGAGAAAAAGCTTAAATCTCTCATGAACAAATTATTTTCTTTGTGAACTGCTGTGGTGCCAAGGTTTAGAGGGACATGCATACCTTTTACTACACCACTTCCATCACTAGTCTCCGAATGGACTCTGTCTACATGGCCAGGAGCTCGTCCTGCAGCGTAGGAGAAGCTGTAGGGGTGGGGAGGCTGTGGTGCCTCTTCCGTAACAATCAGTTGAGCTGCTGATACAGCTAAACCCATCAGGGTCAGTACCTGTAAAACAGTTTTTTAAAGGTTTTCTTCTATCAAATATTTTCTCTTTTTTTTCTTTCTTTTTATCTCTATTTCATTTCTTAAATTAAAGAATTATTAAAATGTCTTAGCCAGCCTTCCTAAATGGCAAGGTGCCCAATATGGGCTGGGTCCTGTTTGCTTTTAAGGTGATCTTGGGTGATGTCATCAAACAGAAAACTGGTTTGCCTACCTGCCAAGCCCTCAGAAGCATACTGAAGACCTTGACCATATGAGGGGTTCACCATCAAGCCATGCTTTGCAGCAGTAAAATAATTAATATCCAACTTGTTTTCTTAAACTCAATGAGTTAAATAGATCTCTTTGGATGCAGTGATCTAATGATGTCCAAAACATGCATGTAAACTATATTTTACATACTGAGCACAACGGACTTCCCTCCCTCCCCTTCACACCACCTGATGGGGTGAGGTGAGGATACAGGGATGAGAGAGAGGGTTGTTCTACCACAGCACTCAACGCTACGTCGCATGTCGATAACTCACCGCGGTGAAGTGCTTCATGTTAGGTCTGGCCTGTTGTGCTCGGCGGGTAACGGAGTTCTGCTGGAAGATGGCCTGCCTGGACCTGGAGACTCTGCCCTGCTGTGCCACCTCCACTCCGCCACACACGCTGGCAGGAGAGAGAAGAGGGGGAGGGGGGTATTACCGCTCAAGGTATTACGTCAACGTCGTCACGTCAAGTCAAGGATGGAAGGAGAGAAAAGGATAACAGGGTATAGAGAAAGTCTCGTGCTCGCACCACAGCTGTGGTACACAACGGTGAAATTTGTAATGAAGTTCGTTGGCAGTTTTTTTGTTTGTTTTTTAGAGTGTGGCATCTTAAATGAGAAGTTCTAATTTCTCTCCTGGTTGACCATATAGAAAAAAATAAATAAATTAGATGAAGATGAAGGTCCGAAAGTTCGAAATGTTTCGTAACCCTCTGTGACGTAGATCTTTCGAGGCGGAACCCGAGATCCGTGAGATCCCGATGTTACTAGTAATAATAAATTGTAATATTTTCTATGGTTTCTAGAACAAAAATTCTTGTTGTAAACGAAGTCCAACAGGAAGCGGGTTGCTTCCACATGTTCTAAAAAAAGGTTCGATGTATCTGACGTCAACGCGTTTTTCTTTCTTGAAATTCCCGCAATTTGATGTTTCGGTTGGGCTGCGAGCGAGGCTAGCACAGTCTTCTGTTTATTTACAATTTTGCAGAGGACACGAGTTGTGCTTAGGTTAAAGTTGTGCTTAAAACGTCCAAAATAAACTCTTTTTATGGTGAAAGGACTTAATGATGCAGATGCAAAGGTTCTCTAGTCTGTGCAAAATCTATGCGCTAAGAAGAGGACCTCTCTCTCCAGCTTTAGGCTTAAAATGTCATAACTTAACAGTCTTTGTACAGCAGCAGAGTCTTTGGACAGTAAGAAAATCATGAATTAACAGCTCTAATTAATTAACGCCTGACATTAACTAAATTTGTGTCATGACAGCAATCTCAGGTTAGACTCAACTCATACAAACCTAAAGTTCAGGATACCAAGTCAAGGAATTCAACAAAAGTCAGAAAAGTAAATTTAAGTAATAAGCTTAGACAAGAATTTAGCAAGTACAAAAAACAGGTAAGTTTAGTAGTCAGTGATTTTTCTCTTGAGCATAGTGACTGTTAAATTATTTTTGATAATAATAACGAGAATATTATTATCTATTTTTTCTAGACCCCAATTATATCATGCAAACGTATGGAATTCAATTTTTACGAAGGTATGAGATATAGCAAGTTTGAGGCAGTTCCACTTGCTTCTAAGGGATGGCTGAAAAGAGGATCCAATGGCGACTTTTTTACTCTTTACGAGGTCAGAATTTTTAGACACGAAAAGTAACTCAGTACATATTTATCTACAATATACTAATTGTGTTAATTGCTCCTAATAATCGTGTTTCAGAATTATATGAAGCCAGATGACTTACATTTTGGTTATGCTCCTCTTCCTATGTCTACTTACTCCCCAACAGATTCTTCCATCAAAGAGGACAATAATTTTCAAGGGTTTAGATCTCTTGGCATTGCCGAACATTTTAGAGAATCCCTGACAAAAATGTGTATTACTAGACCTGCTGACATTCAGGTATTGATGTTGTCTTCATACCAGTTATTTTGAACTGAGCATTTCTGATATCTATTTTTACGATGGTCTTTGATTTTGTTTTTGAAAGAATTATAAACGATTTAGTCTTGGTGAAGCCAGTGAAGCTGAAGCTACCCTGGCATTTGTTTTGAGTAATCTGATTGGCTAAAACCAGCCTGAATCTATCTTCAGTCCTCCAAAACAATTGACGGGGTGGCTTCAGCTTCTTTGGCTTCATCAAAACTAAATAGTTCATCAGGTATAGTACAAAAATTTGATGTTTTGATTATTTTGTTGACAGATTGCAGCAATCCCACACATACTTGATGGTAAAAACTGTGTGGTATCTGCTCACACAGGTTGTGGCAAAACTCTTGCATACATTCTCCCAATCATCCAACAGGTTCTAGAAAGTAATGAGAGAGAAGAAAAACCATATTTTGGAAGCCCAAAAGTATTAATTGTCTCTCCTAGCCGAGAACTGTCATACCAAATTTTTGTGAGACTTAATTTTTTTCTTAAAGCCAGCTGGCCATCTTTCTTATTGGTATTATCTTGAAGTCCAGGAAATGTTTTCAATTTGTTTTGTTTTCCCTTACAGGATGTTGTTCAGAAACTAATACAGGATCATCCACTTAAAGCCAAATTAGTCATCGGAGGATATGAGGACAAACTATCAAAAAATGATATTCCAGAGGTTATTGATATTGTTGTTGGAAGTTTAGGAACATTAAAGAAAACATTTGGAAGTGGTTAGTTGCTTTGTGATCTTTGTGATCATAATTTGGATATTGTCACACCAAATTATTCTTGTATTTTTCAAACCAGGTGCTCTCAGCAAACAAAGACTGAAACATGTTGTCTTAGATGAAGCAGATCAATTGGTTGATGATCAAAATAGGCGCTATGTGAGGGATCTTCTGAAGAATGTTAATGTAAGGTCCTAAAATGCAGGAGAATTTCCTTTTCTTTTCTTTCAACTTCTAATACTTTTTTCATCCTCCATTACCTTTAGATTAAAGATAATTTAGATGAGGGTGATAATAGTGATAATTATCTCAGCGCTCAAATAGTTCTTGTTAGTGCCACTATCCCACTCAATTTGGACCTCCTTTTTGAAGGCCTTGTTGATGTAAGTACCATAGTCTGGGAATTTTCTTATGAACACCAAAACAATTTTTTCATTAAAAAATCTGTCCGTGTACTTTTTTTTCTCAGTGCAATGCACTTGAAAGAATTAGCACCACACATCTACATGATGTTTTAAAAAGCTCTCCTCAGCTATTTTTGAAAGTTGGAATGACTCATAAAGCCAAGGCTTTATTCGACATAATCCAGAAAGATCATAAATTAAAACGCCCTGTTCTAATATTCAGGTGATTGAACATTCTTTTAATCTTGCTGTTTTAACTGTATTTTGTTGTGTCTATAATTTATGTATTCTTTCATTTTACATTTTTAGTAACACCGCAAAAACAGCAGAATGGGTGGGTCACATGCTTAATGAACAACGATATCCTTGCAAGACTCTGACAGGCCAGGTACCAACTGAAATAAGACAGCACTTATTTCAAAGATTTCAACAAGGAGAGTTCAACATCCTTTCTACTACTCCTATGGTTGCAAGGGGGCTGGACACAATTAGAGTAGGTTTGATTGTTAATTTTGGTTACTGATTTTCAAGATTGCCTTTTTAAATGTAATTTTTTTTTCCTTTTTGTAGGTACAGCATGTAATCAATTTTGACTTTCCACTGTATGTATCCGAATACATCCACCAAATTGGTAGGGTTGGGAGAATAGGCCAAAAAGTCTGTCATATAACAAACATAGTAGCTTTCAAAAGGGAAGTGGAACTTGTTCAAAGAATTGAGGTAAAGAGGAAGTTACCATGTTACCAAGGAGAGAGAGAATGCTAATTTCTATCTATCATTATTAATTTATACAACCTCTTTTTCAGTTGTCTGTCCGATTGTATGAAAAATTACATGCTGTCAATGCAAATATTCCTGGAATATTGAGCCATCGCCATGAGAAGTTACGTGAGGGTTCTGGATAAACCATCTAAGTATTCTGAATTAGTTTCCCTTTCAACCTCAACAAATATTTTGTCAATGAAACATATTTAATGCCAAAGTGACATAATTGCAGCACTGTAATCATTAATTAAAGAAATATTAACTTGATTTCATTCTTTTTCGTTTATGTTCTTCAACTCAGGCCAACTTTTTGGTCAATTTCAGTCCTTCCCCAAAATATACAAATCCATGTTCTGGTGTTCGTAAGCGGTGATAAGCTGCAAGACCCAACCATTCTAGGTGCAGCAACACACTGACGCTGCCTTGTGCACGAACTCTGAAGCTCCAGACATCTACACAGAGAAAATGTATTCTGGTGAGGGACCAATTATAGTGTGCATTTGTTGTATGGCACCTCTACAACAGACCTTCTAATGCTTTATTATTTTTCAGGAAATCACCTGAGCTGGTAACTTCCTTCTTGTGTGTCTGTTCCCACCATCTGGCATCAGTTCCCTGACATTTAAAAGGTTTTAGGTTTCAGTGTTGTGCTATTTTTCAATCCAATCCATCATATATCAACCACACACACCTGTTGAAGGCTTAGTCCTTGAAATGTTGGGTTTATGTCTGCCACACCTTCAACATCTAGAAAAAAGGCTCCTTTTGGTGCAATAGCACAATCTTCATGAAGTGTGTACACTACTGCTGATAGCCGGTCCTCCTCTTTCAACACACTTCCTCTTCCCTAGACATTAGCGTTGATGATTATGGTTTAAAGATAAGCCAGATACATGTACATTTGACCATTTCTTGATGAACTTACTGTGACACTGCTTGAATCACCTGCATCCCTCCAGTCAATTATTTGGCTTGGATCACCTGTAAACCTTTGGCTCACTCTTGGGGTAAGCTTGAGGGCACAAGGGGATGGTTCTCCCAGAAGGAACCAATCATATTGGTTATTGCTAGGAAAAATGTATGCATGTTGTGAAAACAATTTATTATATTGCACATAAAAAAGATATCCAAAATTAATTTACCTGTAAAAGAATGAGCGCCCCGTCAATGCATCAGACCTATATCCAAATGCCAAATAATAATCTTTTTCTATACCAAACAATTTACCCATGAAGTAAACATTTTTGAAGTGATTTTCTCCTTGCAAAATCAACAATGCATTCTGGACAACATAGATTTCCTCCTGACTTAATGTGTGTCCTGCCACGCTTGTTAAATCCAGGGCATAAGTAAGATTAATAACGTTCATTTTCCTTAGATAGAAAAACTCTGCCCTTTTTTTTATCGTGAACGGTTTAGTTTGGTGAAGCGCACTGCTAAGCAACCCTCGAATACGGATCACCCGATTCTTCAAACGATGGCGCCAGCTTGAGGCACCACAGAGGGCGCCACCGGTCCCCAAGAGCAAAAGGGAGAAGGGGCAAACGAGGTAGCCGAGCCGAACGCCGAACCGAGTTTCGTGGAAGCCGAAGTGGCAGCGCGACGCGAGACCACGTTGGATTCTCCCTTTCCAGATACGAGAAGACGAGGAGGAAACTTCGGTGGCGCTGTTGCCGAGCTAAGCGCCGGTGGGGGTGGGGGCAGGTATGGTCAGGGGGCGGCGGGGTAGCGGCGGCGGCAGCAGCAGCACCATCCGAGAGTGCTTCGGGCCCACTTCGGCACGCGCTCGTCCTCGCACTGCTCGCAAGCACGGCACTCGGCTCGGGCCCGAGGGCGCTCGGCTACGCGACTTCGGCCGCGAGCTGGTGGGGGATGTTCGGCCCGAGCGAGCGGTCTGATCAAACTCCAGGTTCTCCTTCGGGCCGCTTGTGTCACCCCTCCTGCGCCGTCCGAGTGCGCAGTCGTTCTCTGCGTTGTCTAGATTCTTTGTGCCATTCTTGGCATACCAAACTCGGACTCGGTGCTCATATTTACGGACCAAATAGCAGCCTAATTTCGCCGAAAGTCGCCTGTAAGGTGTTCAACCGTTTGTCTGGTAAGTACCCGTCGCCCGTGAGACTTTTGAGCGTGTGTTCAAGTTATAATTCGTCCAGAAACGGTGCGAGAATGTTCGGTATGCGGGGGCGCTCGGGTGATTCCTGCAATGCTTTACATACTTGTCATGTTTGCCAATATGAGGTCCGGCGCGGCCGACTGGGGCGGGATGGGAAGTGACGGTTTGGTGTTGTGGCCTAGCAAGGACCGTGCGGCAGGGCCCGGAGTACGTGCTCTAGCCGTCGATCGCTCTCGCTGCGGACTTTACGGGCAAACTCTGCCGCGGCCATGGAAAGAGCCAGCACCGGCGCGGCGGGGACCTGGCCTGCCAGTGCGTTTTGGACCAGGTTGGGTGACGGCACGGGGCGGGAGGCACTGCTGCGCGCCGCCAGGCCGACGGGGCGCCAGGACCGCCAGGACACAGCCGAGCCGGTGTTGTGTGTTGTTGTCGTGTCAAGTTCATCAGTGCGCCGTGACAGTTCGTGAGGAGCCGAGGCGCCAGGCTTGTGCGGCCAAGGCGCCCAGCGAGTGTCCAGCTGATAGGACTGCGCTGTCAACCCCGCGCCGGCCACCCGCTGTCAACCCGCGCCGCTGCAGCTGTCAAGCCTTGGATTATCAGACAGGTGTGATTCCGCGTGTGCGTGCGTGCGAATAGTGGCAGAAGAAAAAGTGCGAGTGACGTTTGATCGAAAGTGAAGTGCTCAGTGATTATTTTTGGGGGCCGTTGCGTCCGAGTGTGTCGTCGCACCAGAGGCCTGTCCTGTGGACTTCTGCTCCGCCCCTCGCACACGGGGGTGTTTCTGCTCAGGTGAGGAGAGGAGGTGTCATGCACCCGTTTATTGAAGACTGTGCTTTAAACAAGAACAAGCCTGAAGTGACTCGCCCTTCCCACCGGCGGGGCGGGCGAGGCTGCCCGTCTACCTTTGCGGGCAAGAAGCAACCCCCTCGAGGGCATCTCGACGCTGCCATGAGCGGGCGTGGACGTGTGTGGGCGGCCGTGTGGACTGTTAAGCGCGGTTAAGCACCCGAGGTGGTCGAGGCGCATTCGCTTGCGGCTAGCACCTTCTCCACGGAGGGGGGCAGGGGTACGCGGGCGTGGGCGTGGGCGCCGTGGGCCGCGGCTGCGGTGTCCGCTGCGTCCCCGAGCAGATCGTGCAGGTCCTGCCGACCGCTGCAGCTGCCCGACCGCCCGCGGCGACATGTTCGCCCGCTACTGTAGTGGTCTTAAAAAGTTATTTTAAGTCCCGTAACAAGTTTTTTTTGTTTGTTTTTTTTCTGCGCGCGCGTTTGCGGCCGGGCTAGGGCGGGGGCGGGGCTTGCTCTCTGGTCGAATGGTGCATGCAACAACAGTCACTTGTCAAAACAACGCCGGTCCTAGCTTTGAATGGTTTTTGCGAGGGAAGCCCAGCTGTCACGCCGCTGCAGTGTCGTGAGGATGTGGTTGTTGGCTGCTGGCACGTTCCTTACCGTACGCCCCCTGTCCTGTCGTTCTCTGCCGCCCCGGCTACGACCAGAAGCGTTCGAGCCGTCCGCGCAGCGGCGCCTGTCAGCAGGTGAACCGCCTCGCCCCGCCCCACCCCGCCCCGCGCTGTCCGCACGTCAAGTTCGACGGACGCGATTCTGCCGCCGAAAAAGGAACGGGGTATTGAACTCGACAGTCTTCTCATCTGGACATCCTGCGCAAAGAAAGAAAAGAGAAAAGTCTCGGACGACCTGTTCCTAAGCTCTCTTGATTCTGTTTTCTGCATGTTATTGTGGCATGATCCCCGTGAATATTTTATCGTGCGTGCGTGTGCGTGCGCGCGCGTGTGTTTCTGTGCACGCGTGCCTACTCATGCCTGCTCATTGGGTCCATGGCGCCTTTCTGCACAGTAACCGGAGCCTGACCTGAACAGAAACACCGGTTGTTGAGGGTGTCCCATAGACCTCGTCCTTTGTTATTGGCCACACTTGCACCGCGCGCAAGCGTGCGGGCGGGCTTGCCTGCGGCCGCTCACCATGCCGACGTATACGGCGCCGGGCGAGTAGGCAACCGGCCCACACGCCTGCATGCGGTACAGTAT